TGAGACAGGAGGATTACTATGAGTCCAAGCTAGGTAGGGAGACCTTGTACCAAATATTAATTAATTAAAAAACCAAAGAGGCCACCTGATTAGGTCCACCCTGGGAGAAGAAAGATCCAGTTTGGTGACCAGCTAGGTTGCCTGAGTAAGGTTCTCAGGCTTCAGATTCTTCTAGCCTCCATCCCTGACCCCTCCCCAAGCTGCTGTGAGAATTAGCAGGAAGACCACCAGGGGAAGCTTTGCAAACTGCCAAGGCCTGTAAGAGGCCATTCTATGGTTCTGCTCCAGCGAAGGAGCCATCCTTCCATCCCCTCTCTCCCTGCTCCCTCAAGAGCTACCACAGCTGCTCCCAGCCCATTGTGTTGGTCATTTTTCTCTCTTTGTTTTGATGATACAAGGGATCGAACTCAGGACCTTGCGCTTGCCAAGTAAGCACTTATTCCACTGAGCTATCTCCCCAGCACACATTTTCTCTCTTTGCTGAGACAAAATACCTGACACCCAAAGTTAAAGGAGAAAGGTTTACTTAGCTCACAGTCTATAGATTTCAGTCCATAGTCGGCTGGCTCCAAGGCACGGTGGCGTGACAGAGGGGCACTGCAGGGGGCAACTGTCCTTGGTGGGCAGGAGGTAGCAAAGCCAGCAAGAGGCAACCACAGCTTTTTCTATCCCTTATATCAGCTCTTTCTATCCCTTATATCTTATTCAGGCTACTTAGGGCAGGCAGCACCCACACCTTAATCCTAGTGCCCTTGATCCTAGCATCACATCAGGAGGCCATTCCAGCATCACAAGTGCTACATCCAGCCACCTCTGAAAAGACCCAGCTGTGACTGTACGAGGTTTGGGGGGACAGCTAGACACAAGCCAGAACACCAGCCATCTCTCTTCCCACGGAGGAATCTGACTACCACCACTCCCACCACTTCTCAGCTGCAGGGCTACAGCCAGACACATGAGCTGAGGGGTTTGTTTTCTACGGGGAATTTGGGGATTCACGGAAATAATGGGTCAGGGCCTGAGGGGTCACACTGTGTGAGAGCAGAGAGCCCTTCACCAGTAAAGGGCCTTGGGGCCACAGAGCTATAAGCATGTGGGATTCCACCCTCTCAGGATCACCTTTGAGAGGCGGCCCTGCCCCTGGGCATGGCTTTGCATGCGCCCCCCACCCTGCTTACATCCTCAGTCATGCTAGACTCTAGGCTCCTCGACAGCTGCCTTCCTAAGCCTGCATCCATACTGTCAGCCCAGCCTCCTCTCTGCCTTCAGAGCTCAGCCTAATCCCTGCTTCCTCCAGGAAAATGAGTTCTCCAGGCAAGAGGCCAGGGTGGCCTGCTTCAAGCCCCCACCTGCCTCTGAACAACCTCGCTCCTCCAGCAGGACAGTATGAAGGAGGTCCTCAAATTACCCCTGCAACTGCCCAGCTTTGTGTCCTGTGACGCTGTACACTCATGCCCAGTTGCACTCACCCTTGTGTGCCCTACCTGACACCTAGCTAGACAGTGCCCGGAACACAACAGGTACTCATATGGAATAGACACATAAGCTTGTTTTTGCAGAACATATCTGTATTCTATCTACTCAGGAGGCTGAGGCAGGAGAGTCACGAGTTCAGGGGCAGCCTGGGCAACTTAGCAAGATCCTATCTCTACATAAATAAATAGAAAAAGCTGAGAATGTAGCTCAGCATCCCCGAGTCCAGTCTCTAGTTATATACATACACACACATATACACATACACACATAATATACGTATACACACTATGCAGAAAGGAGGAGGGGACAGAGGAGGGCAAGGAGGACCAGCAACAGGAGGAGGAGGAACCAGACTCTGGAAGCAGCTGACTCCCAGACCTGACCAATTCCTCCCCAAGTACGCCTAGGGTGTTCATTGCCTTCCAATGTCTGTTTCCCTCGCTGTGAGACAAGCACAAGGAAGCATTTCTACCAGAGTTGCTGAGAGGCTTCATGTGGACAGAACGGTCATTTCAAAAGAAGGAGCTGTAAACACTAAGAGCTGTCGGCACCAAAGAGCTCCAGAGACCAGCAGCCCACAAAGACCAATAAATTTGAAGTGTCCGGGACAGGTGGCCCAGTGTGTGGTAGAACCACATGAAGTTTGTTCCATACAAGCCTCAGTTTCCCCCATGGTAAGTGGAACCCTCTGCAGCAAGAGGATGCTTGCACACACAGGAGGAGGGCTACACTTGGTGCGGGTCTGTGATTCAGCCTGAATCCTAGTCCATCACAATGGCTGTTGTCTTTGGACAGAGCCAGACAATGGGCTTATTTACCACACAGTCACCACAGAGGTTCTTGTTCTGCAGTCACCTGCATTCCATAACACCCTTATATTGGTGTTCACACGGTCACCTAGAACTGGGCTGGAGGGCCATCATGGGGATACAGGATCTGGCCTTGCCCTTGGTCAGCAGTCTAGGACCTTGGTCACGGTCCCAGTGCTGCCAATCAACCTAGGGTTCTTTTGCTCAATTCAGATGGAAGTCATGAACTGGCACAGGAAGGCTCTGCTGATGTTACTAGGTGGCATCAGATAACACCAGATGTCAACAGCTGACTCAGCCAGCTGCTGGCTGTTGGCCTCTGCCATTGCTGACCTCCACCATCTGGTGCCAGCTTGTACCAGACTCCATAGGCTGACTCCTCCAGCTTCAGCAGCATGCACAGGCCTCTGTGATTCATCTTTGTGGGCTGCTGGTCTCGAGGCTTTCAGTGCTGACTGTGCTGTGTTCACAGTCCCTTCTTTCGAAACGACCACCATTCTGTTCACATTCCTGAGTAGATTCACAGGACTTTGGAGCCCACACTACCCAAGAAACAGTCCATAAACAGTTTACCAGGCACACCAAAGTGAGTCTCAACAGGGCCTGGGCCATAGCAGAGAACCGTGAGTACGCCGGATGGCGCCCTCCCAGACCAAACCTGGGCAGCACCAGGGCCATGCTTGGGTGGCAGCTACAGGCCTGGGTCAGTGAGGGGCAGGGGTGGAACCAGGACATTCTCTGGGGGCCTTGCTGTGAAGGCTGGGGACAGAAGCAAGCCCCAGATCCCTCCCTCCATGATCTTAGCTGGAGGGGGGAGGGGCCCCAAAATGTGGCTCTCCTCCTGTGGGAGAGGAGAGTGACATCATGACAGCAAGAGTTCTTTTTTTTTTTTTTTGCGGAACCGGGGATTGAACTCAGACCCTTGCACTTGCCAGGGAAGCGCTTATTCCACTGAGCCATCTCCCCGGCCCTACATGACAGCAAAAGGACAATGAAGAAAAGTGTCCCAGTCCTTTGGAGGGGATACGGGGAACAAATGGAAGCCAGAGGGAAGGGGCACAAGAACTGCATAACTTTTCTAGCCAGCATGGGGAAAACGAGAGTGTCGTTTGCTTCTTGTGTGTCACCAGGGCCACGTGAATGTGCTGGCCAGAGGTCTGGGTCTCACCTGCAGGAGCACAGGCAAGCAGGAACGTAGGATGTGAGACATAAAGTGAGGGAGAGAGGAGGCAAGGAAATTGAAAACGTTTGAATTGTACCTTTAAGAAAAAAAATCCCTGCACCTTCAAGACACGAAGTTACCCAAGGTTACAATGCTCTTTTCCCTTCCAGGAAACTCTAAAGAGAAATCTCTAAGGATCTCAAAGATACAATAAGCTTGTAAACTGAGCCTGCGCACTTCCTGCCAAGGACCTCCATCCTCCAGGAAGCCCCAGATCTCAGCCTCCAAGACACGGAAATGGCCTACCTTCCAGCCTAGCTCAAAACATGGGCATCCTGACAGACTACGGATGCACAAACTAGGTCACCCATCTGAGGACACCCCCAAGGCCATAACCACCCCTCCTCAGTCCCAGGTCACAAATGCACCCCTCTGTAGAGCCCACACTATTCTGAGTGTATATTTTTAGAATCTCTTCCTAATAAGCCATAAAAAAAAGACAAGATCTTGCTATGAGTTTAGGTTGGCCCTGAACTCAGTATTAGCCCAGGCTGGCCTCAACCTCATGGCAACCCTCCTGCCTCAGCTTCTTCCTGAATACTGGGGTTACAGGTGTTCGGCACCACACCTGGCCCTAATAAACCTTTCTAATGCTTCACAAGTGACAATCCAATAATTCTTCACTGTGACATAAGACAGTGACCCTACCACGTACCCTGTGGCTGGGGTGAGTTGAGGGCCCTCTCCTCAGGGATCTCCAGAGGCCTTGTCTGGTGACAGGTATACTCCAGACCCACGGCCCCAGAGCATACTCACCCCCTTGAGTAAAGTGACTTCTCCTTGAGCCTGCAAGAATCCAATTTCCATCAAAAAGACACCTCTATTTTTTTTTCTTTTGTATTTTGATAAACACCGGAAAACCACAGAACCTAGTTTTTCTTTTCTTTTTTTTGCAGAACCAGGGATTGAACTTAGGTCCTTGTGCTTGCCAAGGAAGTGTTTATTCTACTGAGCCATCTCCCCAGCCCCCAGAACCTAGTTTTATTTGATGTCATACACCCTCTTAATCCTTTCTTTCTTTCTTTCTCTCTCTTTTTTTTATTTTTTTATTTTTTTTGTTGTTGTTGGAACCAGGGATTGAACTCAGGCCCTTGCACTTGCCAGGAAAGCGCTTATTCCACTGAGCTATCTCCCAGGCCCCTTTTTTTTTCTTATTCCTTTCAACATGTAGGATTATTAGCTGTTTTGTATGTGTTTTCAGTTTTTATTTTGACATATGCTATAATTACAGCCATTATGTAAAGTATCTTAAATAAAACTAAACTAAACTAAACTATACTAAACTAAAACAAAACAAAACAAACAAACAACCTCCCTAAAACTAAAATGCTCCAGCATCCCCAGTAGGTTTGGTCTCCACCTTGACGAAACGGGAACTACAACTCCCAGCATGCCACGGGCACCCCCCCACTTGCTTACGCCCCCACCGAACGTCCCGGACTACAACTCCCAGAATGACCTGGGGCCTCCACACTGTGTCCCCGGTCCGGGAAGTCCGGTGGCACGGACCCACGGCTCCGAGTGGACACTCCTTGGGAAGAGTAGGGTAGCCTCTCTGAGTAGGGTGGGGAGACCAGCGCTGCCTCCGCCATGCTCCGCGCACTGGCCCGGGCCGCGACTCTAGGACCCGGGGTACCCTGGGTGCGGTGGTCTGGGAGCCAGGCGGTGGTCTCGGCCCAAGTGGTGGACCTGCGCAGCGACACAGTGACCAGACCCGGGCCAGCCATGAGCCGCGCCATGGCCGAGGCGGTCGTGGGGGACGATGACTACGGCGAGGACCCGACGGTCCGTGGTGAGCCCGATGTACAGCCCTGGGCTGGGGTCGTCCCGGCGACCAAGGGCGCTGTCCGTGGTGCTGGCTAAAGGATGACCAGGACGGGGTGGTGTGCAGCAGGCATTCAGAGATCCTCTGTCTCAGGCCAGGCTTTGCATTCTGCTTCCTTCTCACCAAAAACCTGTCAGAAATGCAGACACCCAGCCACTCCCACCAGAGCGTAAATATGTCACCACAACAGGGCCAAGGAGGTGCTTGTGTTGACAGCAGTCTGTGGAGGGTATTTTGTGGACGGGAAGGTAGGGAGAAGTGCATGGCTCACAGGGAATAGGAACCTCCCTGAAGAACCCTCCTGAAGTATAATGGCAGTGCCCAGGCTCTGGGCATGGGGAGCTTCAGAGGTATCAGGATACAGGTGGAGAATGTGGCTTAAGTGTAGTGTGCACGGGGCACCTTTGTCACAAACAGGAAGTGGGGAGTGGGTAGAGGTCAGATCACACTGACCTTGAATGTCATGCCAAGGACTCTGTGTCTGATGCCACAGTCAGGACAGTCACCACAGACTTTAAATCAGGAGCCCCACTTGTCCTCCAACTGCACCTTTTGTCCCCCCTCCACCTCCCCAAGGCTCCCCTTCTGAGGGGGAGCGGAAGTCAGCGAAACCACAGCCCCACCTGGCAGGGCTGGTGGGAAAGGAAGTGCAACAGGTGTGGGTCTTGCTGGCACAAGGGGTTCAAACCACAAGAAAGTTTTAGTGGGCTGGTGCAAGGGGAGCTTTGGCCCAGGAGGAGGTAGGGTGCAGAGGGTTGACTGAGGGACCTGGGGACCCAGATGTGTGGTTACCAACAGACACTGACAGACTGCTGGAGATATAGCTCAGTGACACAAGCACCTGCCTGGCAAGCATGGGGTCCTGAGTTTGATTCCTGGTACCTAAAAGAAAGCACTGGTAGACTGGGGATCCAGCCCTGCCCATTGGCCACTCATGTAGGGCACAGCCTCTTTAGGGCACTCCTCTAAAAGACACCCTGAAGTGTCCTGAGTGTGGTCAGCCTGCAGCTGCTCCAACTGTCATTGTCCATAAATCCTTCCCTGGCCCACACCACTCCCTTCCCAGAGCTACAGGAAAAGACTGCAGAGCTTCTTGGGGTGGAGCGGACTCTGTTTGTGCCCACCAACACAATGGCCAATCTCATCTCCGGTGAGTTCACCCCCCAGGTCCTCGGGCACCCTCTGTCCCCCCTCAGCCATTCGTGAATGGCATTTCTGGATCTTTGTTCAGTCTGCCTTCTCCCCACCTGGCAGGAAATGGGGGAGTGAGTAGCAGAAAGCTACTCCCCAGCCTCTCCTCCTTGGGGTGCCCTCAGCACACAGCCTTGGTTCCCCATTCCTGTAAGCACACCATCCTTACCTCTTCAAGCCTCTCTGTGATGTCCTCCTGCCTCACCTTGTATACCAACACCACACAGTTCCCACCAGAGCCTTGCAGTGGCTGGTGTCCCTGGCCGCCTGTCCACAGGGAGTGGCATTGTGGTTGGCATCTTCCTGCAGGTGGTGATCTCCAAATGGGCCACAGGCTGTGTGTGGCCCAGTGTTAGTGTGGCCAACCCACAGTTACATATTTAGGGTGATGGTTTTCCAGCATGTGGTGTTAAGCTGTCTTGAAGGAGCAGTTTCTCAATTGGTATAAGAGATGTAGGAGCTTGCTGTGGCCCTGCAGCTCGCCCTAGCCATGGTGAGCAGGGCAGATGGGCCCTGTGGAATCAATGCCAAGTCCTGCCCTCCTGTCTGTCTCAGTGATGGTTCACTGCCGGCGTCGGGGCTCCCAGCTCCTCCTTGGGCAGGAGTGCCACATCCAGGTCTATGAGCAGGGCGGGGTGGCTCAGGTAAGAACCAGGTACTACTCCCCTGGGGCCCGGGGCAACCTCTCACCAGCGCAGGGTGCTCAGGGGAGAACCTGCTTTCCAGGCGCCGGCTAGGACCGGCAGATGGGGAAAAGAGCCACATGGAAGATGCTCAGGGAGAGGTGGGAGGGACAGCAGTTCTCAGATTTACCACTTGGAGGCAGCAGTGGCCCAGGCTGGTCCAGGGATACAGAACAGTTGTTTTTGCCTAGTGCTTGGTGTCTTGGTCCTCTGCTGTCCCCTGGTGGGTGCTCAGTACACTGGCACTGAGAATTGGGAGCCTGAACACAGCCTGACAAGTGTCAACAGAAAAGGGGTTGGGGGGACCCTCCTCAGCTAGGACATCGCATCTGAAGGGGCAGGGAAAGGGCTAAGGCCCAGAGCTGGGGAAAATCAGCCACAGCGTTGGGGATCTGGCTCCCTGTTCCAGACAACCCTCTCTCCCGCCAGGAGGTGCTACTGATCCACCAGGCCCACCTGACCACTCCCCTTCCCCCACCTGCAGCTTGCTGGGGTGCTGTCCCACCCACTTCCAGACCTGCCACATGGCATGCTGGACCTGACTGAACTGGAGAAGGTGCTTGCTCGGGGTCATGGGAGCCCCTACCACCCAGTCTGTGAGCTCGTGTGCCTGGAGAATACACACAACAGCTCCGGAGGCCGGGTCCTGCCCATGGACTACCTCCACCAGGTAGGCCTGCGCCCCACCACTCCCCACCACCAGCCCACTGCTGCCTTCCTCTGCACTCAAGCCCCCATCTGAGACAGCTGGTCTCTGTCATGCCCTGTGTCACCAAGGCTGGAGGTACAGAGGGAATAACTGCTCCTGTTGAGGACCCCAATTTCCTAGACTTGCCCAAGGGCAGAGGTGTCACGTGTGCTCACACAGCCTGCCACCAAGAGCCTGGTCACTGCACCACGGTCCTGGTGAGGCTGTGAGACTTGCGGAGTGCACAGTAGAAAAGAGGATGGAGCTCTGCAAGAGTGCTTGCCTAGCCAGTACTGTGTGCGTGCGGGCGTTCACATACCCACGCAGGGGAGTGAAAATGCTTGCCATTGGCCCCTTCCACAGAGGACAGCACTGAGGCTCAGGCCATGCCACATGACTGCTCAGGTACCCAGAGCTGGTCACCAAACCAGGCTCCTGACTCCAGACTGCTCATAATTCCTCCAAAGGCCACACTCAGGAGCCTCCCAGAGACTCACCTTCTTCAGGCCTGGCCCCTCTGACCTCTGCCTGCCCTTCATCCCAGGTGCACCTTCTGGCCAAGACCTACGGGGCCCGCATCCACCTGGACGGGGCCCGGCTGATGAATGCAGCGGTAGCTCTACGTGTGCCCCCTGCCCGCATCGTGGAGCATTGTGACTCTGTGTCTTTGTGTTTCTCCAAGGTGGGGACAGCCCTGGGCTTGCCTTCTAGGGCCAAGTGGGGTGAGGGTGCCCTGTAGGAAGCAGAGTTGGGTCTGTGGGCTCCAGGTGCCATTGTGGCTGCTCCTCCCCATCCAGAGACAGGATGCTAGGAATGGGGCAGCAAGAGTTTCTCCTCTTCCCCAGGGCCTGGGTGCTCCAGTGGGTGCTGTGGTTGGGGGACCCAAGGACTTCATTGAAGAAGCCTGGCGTTTCCGGAAAGCCTTGGGCGGGGGCATGCACCAGTCTGGAGTGCTGGCTGCAGCAGCCCTGCTGGGTCTGGCTGATGCAGAGGAGGCCCTGCTGCAGGACCATGGGAATGCCCAGAGATTCGCCAAAGGTGCCGCCCCTCACCCTTCCTTCCTTTTGCCCCCAACTGTGCCTAGGGGGTGGTCCTCTGCAACAGGGCCCAGATCCCCATGAGTCTGTGCCCTTGAAGCCTCTAGGATGTTGAGGTTAGCACTGAGTCTGCAGAGGGGACCCGGGTCTACCTGCCTCCCAGACCCCATTCCATGCAGGACTTGGCACTGACAAGCACCAGTGGAGTCAGGAACTGGGGCCCCCTGTGCTATCCAGCGGTCTTTCATCCATTGATTGAATCCTCACGATATCCCCACTTCACTAATGAGGAAATGGAGGCCCATGCTAAAATAGCCGTGTCACCTGTGTGATCCCGGAGGCCACATCAGGACTCAGGGTCATTCTCTCCTCCTGTACTGGCTGCTTTCCCCAAGTGATAGTTGCAGGGAGTGGGGACCATAGCAGGGGCCTGGGATCGGGCTCCACTCACTCCAGGACCTGGCCTAGGTCTCCAGGAGCTGGCGTCACCCTTCTGCTTCGTGGACCCTGCCACCGTGGAGACCAACATGGTGCTAGTGAGGGTGAGTGGGCTGTCACCCTCGGAGCTGTGCCAGCGCCTGCAGGCTGTGAGCCCTGACGAGGTAGCACAGATCGGCCATGCTGTGCGGGTGCTGCTCTTTCCCTGGACAGAGCAGTCAGTGCGCGCCGTGTGGCACCGTGGCATCTCCACCCACGACACTGACCTGGCCCTGAGGAAGTGGGAGCTCGTGCTGAGGCAGCTGGAGCCCTGAGGATAGGGTGACAAGGGACCCTATGCCCTGGATAGAACTGAAACGGGAAATGTTCCAAACCTCTGGCCCAGTAGCCTGCTAGAAGCAAAGGCCAACCTCTGGGGAAAGGTGACGCCATCCAAAGCCTCAGATTTCTCTACAGTGACTCATAGATGATGTCTCCACTCCGTCAGAAATAACCACGCATAGGGTCAGACAAGATGTGACCAGAAATCAAGGGGGAGAACCAGACAAAGAGACCAGTAGGTGATCAGGATAACACGGTTATTCGATATGGGCTTTAAAATAAAATATTTAAGGAATTACAAGGCAAGATAAAAAAAATTAACAGAAAACTTGAAACTGTAGGATGACACCTTGGAAATTCTGGAAATGAAAAGCAGGGCCAGGGACATAGCTCAGTGACATAAGTGCCTGTCTGGCAAGCGCAAGGTCCTAAGTTCGATCCCCAGCACCACAAAAAAAAAAGAAGAAGAAGAAGAAAGGCATATTAAATTAAGATCTTACTGGATAGGTTTGATAGCAAAAGAGACACAGCTGAAGAGAGAGAATTAGTGAAGAGGGCAGTAAGTCTGGAAAAGCTGTATCTGAAACAGATCCAAAGCTGGTATTTTGAACAGAGTAATCAAACTGATAACTTCCTGGTGGATGGATCAAAAACCAGAGAGAAAGTACAGATCACTGTTTGTTTTGTGTGTGTATGTTTGTTTTTTGTTGTTGTTTTGAGGCAGAGTCTCTTGAGATATAGTTCAGGCTGGCCTTGAACTCATCATGGTGATCCTCCTGCCTCAGCCTCCGGAGTACTAGGATTACAGGCGTGGGCCACCACACCCAGATGATCTTACAGATTGTTTTTAATGATAGAAAAGAATAAACACTACTTATATTTTTGTCATGTAGAATAATCATTAATGTTTGTGTTTCTTTCATTCTGGATATGTATATGGGTACGTGAATCTGTATGTGTGTGTGTGTGTGTGCGTGTGTGAGTGTGTGTGTTTTAAGGAGAGAGATCCATGCAAACTTTTTATCACCATGAAAATTTCAGGAAGTAAATTGCAAAGGGAGAAAGTTAACTGTGACTTCCAGTGGCAGAGGTCTTACTCTATGACCAGCCCTGGCACAGACCTTTGGGGGACACCTAAGATTCAAACTATAGCACTGTGTCACCCCAGTGCTTAGCAGGCCCCTCACAGGAACCCAGGGCAGCCTGGCTTTCTCAGCAATAGTGGCTTCAGCTTACACGTGCCAAGTTGAGGCCCAGTGGAGGCGACCAGGCATTCGCTGCACACGGCTAGTGGAGGCACAGGAGCGGAGACAGCAGTGTGGTGACATCTTGAGCCACGGTGAGTGTGACAGGAAAAATGCGGGGCCCTGCAGCGGAGGACCCTCCCACTCTTCCTCTGCTCCTGAGAATCCCCATCTGCGCTCTGGAGACCCAGAACTGGGGGCTCCCCTGGCCACCAGAGCTGATAACTCAGAGACTCAAAAAAAGACCAGCACCACTTCCCCTGTCATCCCTATCTGCTGAGCTTGGGGGACACCTAAGATTCAAACTATAGCACTGTGTCATCCCAGTGCTTAGCAGGCCCCTCACAGGAACCCAGGGCAGCCTGGGTTGTGTTGTGTTGTGTTTCCGACCCACATCAGCAGACATGCATTGGGTTTGTTATCCGCCGCTGGGTAACAGATTGTCCCAAACAGCAGCATCTAACATGACAAACATTGTTAGTTCTTGTACTTTCTGTGGCCCAAAGGCCAAGGAGTGACTCGGTGGAGTTCTGGCTGTGGTCTCTCCTGAGGCTGCAGACCAGCTAGTCTGAGCCCTCAGGCCCCTGCCTTCCACAGTGGCCCCCACACACAGCAGGCCCACTGGGCTGGTTGCAGTTGGAGGCTGTCTCTGTGCGCGCAGGGACTGCCCCACCCTCCAGGCCAGCAACCGAGAGGCTGAGGCAGGAGCTGCCAGGACACCACAGTGACTGTACTGAAGCTGGTTCCTGTGTCCAGGTAGGGTCTCAGCCCAGAGAGGGCCCTGGTTTTGTTGTGCAGGTCCTGGTGGGGCACAGGTGGCATCAGAGGGAAATGACCAGAGCCAGCCCACAGAGGGGTACAGAAGGAGGGCAGGAGAGGGGGCAGAGCTGGGGCATCATGGGAGATGCTCGGGTAAGGGGGCCCTGTCCTGAGATAGTGACCATCCCACAGGGCTGGCTCTATTGTGCTCTCTAGAATGAATGATTGTGCCCTCCCCACCTTTCTCCTCTTGCTGTGAGTCACGTGGCCCTGGCACTATGTTCTCAGCAGCCTTGAACCCGGTACTGATTTGCCCTGAGCAACACTCATCTGCTTTCATCCACAAAGCTGGGCTGCCCACTGAACGTGAAAGAGTATGAGACCCTCAGGGCAACTGCTGCAGTCAGTGGCTCATCAGAGAGGCCGAGTCCTCTAGGGGAGCGTGCACACACACGTGCCCATGAGCAGAGGTGAGACTGGAGGTCCCTGCAGCTACTGGTGTGTGTCTTCCCCAGTGTCCCACCCACAGCCCAACCTCAGCGCTAGTCAGAGGGGCCTGGAGCTAAAACTGTCATCCCCCCACCCCTGCTTCTGTGAACACACAAAAGCCTCCTCAGCAGATGCTGAGAGGACAGCAGGGGAGAGGGCCCCACACTGTTCCACTCAAGCTAAGAGGGCTGCCCACACATAGAGGCCCGGGGCCCCTCCCAGCCGGTGCTGGCCTGACAGGAATAAGAAGGTGCGTATCTGCAGACAGCATCACGAGATGCCTGCGCACACGCACGCACGCATCCAGGCAGGACATCTGCGAAGGCTGAGCTTGCCCGCGGCACACACAGTTGGTGACTATTTGTTTCCTCCGTAGTGTTTGTGAGGCATGGGCGTGTATTACCTCTTTTGAGAAACTCAAAGAGAAAAGCAACAGGCTTATACTGTACATGGCATAAGCGGATTTATTCAAGGGCACATTGCACAACGTTCCTGCATGGGGGCGGGGACGTGCCTCGACTGCACAGTACCTGCGTAACAAGCGCAAGGTCCTGAGTTTGATTCCTGGTGGAAAAAAAAAGTCCTGCTTGGAGTGGCAAAGGGGAGACCCTCTCAGCCCCAGCTCTGTCCTCCCTAGGCCCTGCCAAAACTGTGTCACTTGGGACCGAGGAGATGGCTCAGTAGGATAAGCGCTTGACTGGCAAACGCAAGGATCTGAGTTCAATCCCCGGTTCTGAAAAAAAAAAAAAAAAAAACAACACACAAAAACAACAACAACAACAAAAAAAACTGCATCACCTTCACCCTGTGTCCTCAGAAGCTTCCTGTGACCATTGAAGCAATAAAAGGAGGGGGCAGGAAGAGCCTCAAGGGGGCCATGTTCCCCAGCACACGTCCCTGAACTCAGGAAGGACCCACACCTGAAGTGGGGCTGCTGGGCTCACAGGTGCTACGCAGCCCCTCAGCCCTCTTTCCTTGTCCCATAGCCACGACCTAACCGACATCAAGTGGACTGCCCCAGCCCAAGTGGTGAAGGACAGCGTAGCATGCCCACCCTGTTCTCCCAGGTCTGGCTCTTGGGCCGTGGGCTGGGCTTCTGCCTCCTGCTCGGGAAGTGTGCAGCTGCATCTGGGACAGTGGTGCACATGTGATCCCCACACTCAGAAGGTTGTGGCAGGAGGACTGTGGACTCAGAGCCAGCCTGGGCTACATAATTAGTTCAAGGCCAGCCTGATTCTGTCTCCAAAAAAAAGTCTGCCACCGAGACTCTAGGCTCAGCCTGAGTTCTTTTCCCGGCCACCCCAGGGATGGCCCCAAAGCACTTTCAGACCACAGGGGAAGGCCTGGGGCTGGCAGGGGCAGGGCCACACCAAGACAATGACAGACAAGAGTCCAGTGACCACTTGCCTGGAAGCGGCGGGGAGAGGGACTTACCTGGCTACAAACTAGGGAGGGGACCCCCTCTGTGCCTACAAATGTAAGAGACCTCATCCCTGCCACTGTCCCTGCCACGGGGAGTGGACAGACAGAGGGTTGGGGGCCCTGCCAGCAGCCTGCTAGGACATCTGGCTCTGCCCTGAAGGGCGCCCAGGTGTGACCTAGCCTCAGCCTCCCCTCTGTGACAGGGTAAGTGACAACCACATGCAGGACTGTGGGGCTAACAAGCAGGGGAGCACAGGGAGCCCTATCTCTCTCCCCAGACTGTCCCAGGTCCCTAGGAATAGGGCACAGCAGGACTGATGAGGGTGGTGCAGCCAAACCTCCAAGAGTCCAGGGCACCCTGAGTACCCAGGAACTGGAAACGCCTCACCAACTTCAGCCAAGAATCCAGTGACCTCCTTGATCTCTAGGAGGAAGTGAGCTAGGCAGTCTCTGAGAACACACAAAGGCTGTGCAGCATCCCCCCACCACCACCAGACTCCAGGATGACCCAGCCAGGATGACCAGTGACCTTCAGGCTTGTGGGAGGGGACCCAGCAGCTCTCCCAATCTGCTACCCCGGGACTCAGATGACCACAGAGTGGGGTGCTTCAGGGCGCCGGCTCAGACTGAGGGTGTGGGCAGCGGTGAGCAGGAGGGCACCACTGAGTGCCTCCAGGGTGCAGGAGCCCCAGGCCAGGGCAGCAGACCAGCCGAAGCTGATGCGCACACCCTGCATGCGCTGGGCACCATACTGGCGGGTCGTCTCTGCCAAGGCCAGGTGTGAGTAGCGGATGTACACGCTGACCCCCGCCAGGGTCAGGGCACCTGGGGAGAGAGGGGGAGGAGAAGCCACTCCCAGGGGTCCTACACACGAAACCTTGGGGTCCCCACACATTCAGGGCCTGACAGGCACCTTTCCACTTGTGCCCTCTCCTGGTCAGCTCTGATGACCCTCACTCTGGCCCGTTCAGTCGCCTCCTAGTCCCTGGGGTGAACTCTGAGGTTTACAAACGTTTCCACCTGCACCTCCAGCACAGTCAGGCAGCAGCAGAAGCAGTGGGTTGAATTTGGGGAATGATGTGAAGCCAAGTAGGGTGGGAGAGGCCAGGATGGGGGCAGAGGCCTGCCTAGGACCTCCTCAGCCCTCAGGGCTCCCCAGAAAGGAGGCGCAGAAGCAGGTGGCATGGCCTCCGCTGCAGGGTCAGCACTGCCCCATAAGTCCGCTCCAAACTCCAGCTGCTGAACAGTAGGGTGCAGAGTAAACCCCTAATCTGGAAGCCCCTTTCACCTCTCTCAACTCCTCTGGAGGACAGAGACCCAAGCTAAGCTCGTGGCAACCTCTCTCCCACCTCAGTCTCCTGAAGTACATCTCCAGGGCTGGGTCTGCAGTCTGCAGGACAACCATAGAGGAATTCGTCCCTCCAGCCCCTCGGCCTGCACGGGCGCCTTCTGTCCCAGCACAGTGCAGAGGCTTCCTGTCACCACAAGCTTTCCAGCCCTATTACTCCTCCTGATGGCTCCCTGAGGTCATCTTCAGTGGGTTTGCAGTCTCCCGGGTCACAGCTGGCACTGAGCACTGTGGACTCCATGCTCTGGAGGACACCCCGACGTCTTGTGGGTCTCACTGGTTTGTGATCATAACCAAGGCTACACGTCCCCCCCTCTTCGGCTCCCAGGCCAGCCTGCTCCCTCTTCCCTGAGGTCTCCCAAAGAGCCCAGCATTGCCTGGGGAGGGAAGCAGCACTGCCCAGGAAGAGGCCCCAGCCCCAGCGGGCCTTGTAACCATGGCCATGAGAGTAGAGCTGTGGTGAGATGTGGACCCAGCTCAGGCCTGGCCCCACATGACAAGGGCCACTGGGGCTGACCCCTGGGAAACACCAGCCCACATTCAGCAACAGCCCCCCAGGGAAAGGGCAGGGAACTTGGGGCTAGGGCAGACAGCACCACCGGGCTGTGGGGGAACAAGCTCCCTCTGGTTTGGGAGAGCCTGGAACCTCTCAGGACTGACTTCTCACTGCAGAGCCCCTGGGGATACTCAGGCCAGCGTGGCACACAGTGAGCCACGCACTATGCAAGTCACCATCTGGACCCCAGCAGGGGACACTGTTGAGGACTCTGATGCCCTTCCGCCCACTGCCACTGAGTGGCCCTGAGCTGTCTATGCCAGTGGCATGCCCCTGCTCCCAAGCCTCCCCCAGGACAACCTGGGAACAAAAGAGGGACTAGGGGCTGAACACACTGTCCTCAGGGACATCTGGCCAACACAGCAGGTTCTGGACTCACTATGGGATCCTCCGGCTTCCTAGGCTGCAAAGTTCCAGCCTGGCCCTCTTGTGTCCAGGCCCAGCCAGAGGCCCAGCCTAGGGACCCAGGGTACCTCTGTCCCCACGCGGTACTTCTGTCCCCAGGGTGTCCCTCTCCCAAGGGGGACCTCTAGCCTCAGAGACCCAGACGCAGTATAGCCCTGGGGGAGCAGAGTGTGTGGGGCGGGGGAACAGGAGATCCCACTCCCAGAACCCCCCACTCCAGACTCACCCCCCAGCAAGAAGTAGCAGCCGGTGAGGAGCAGCAGAGGGACGCTCTGAGTCAGGGAGCTGAGCAGGCCGCAGACCCAGCCACACACAATGAGGACCAAGCTGAGGGGCAGGACCACCATGACGGCACGGTGCAGTGCTGCGGAAAAGGCGGCTCAGGTGCAGGTAGACAGGACCCCTGCCCCCAGGAGGGTCGAAGCAAGCCTGATGCTCCTGCTCAGGCCAAGTGGAGTGAGGGGTTGATGCCCTGTCTCCATGGTAATCACCAGACCCTCCCAGTGGCCACCTCGGGTGCTGGCATAGACTTCACAAGGGGAGGGGGAGGGAGATTCCCTGGTGCCCTCCCTGCCCCCCCCCCGGCTGTTCTGGGACATCAGTCACATGCCCACCATGGGAGATGGCAACAATAAAGTTGGGCTGTTACCACTGAAAAGGAAACTGAGGCACGGGGCTAGCAGCATAGTCTGAGAATCAGTAGGACACCTGTGATCAGGACTCAACAGCAGAGCACAGAAGAGCTACAGGTGGACATGTCCTCTGAGGACTGCAGGGCCATAGGAAGTGCTTCTCTGGGACTGGGGTGGGATGGTTCAGGTCTCAGTCCTGCCTGAAGAATCAGGAAGGCTGTGGAGGTAGCACTTCCCAGGACTCACAGAGGAGGTGCTGCACCGAAGGGGAGGCATCCAGTCCCTCGCTGGCAAAAGGGTCAATCAAGGGGACACAGCTGCTCTGTCCTGGGGAGCCAAAGTACAACGCAGAGGCTGGATACCAGGGCCCCCAGCAGATCATAGAGCCACAGGGTTACGCTGAAGTCATAGGCCCCACGGGCTCAGGGCTCTGAATGGCATCTGAGACCCAAGATCTCTCATTTGGTTTGTTTCCATGGACAGGCCCTCCCTACAGGGAGGTGTGTTTGAAATCTCAGACACTCAGGAGGCCCCTGGGAATGCTCTGGGGGTCCCCATAACACACAGTCATGGGGAGCCTGGACTTAGCCTTTGGGGAGAAACAGTGCACAAAATGGGGCTGGAAGGCTCAGCTCAGGACCCTTCCCAACTCCCGTCGTGTGGGCTTTCAGATTCACACCCATGCACGTATGCACACAGGACAGGAGAGACAGGCAGCCAAGTCCTCCCACTCTGCACACTTGGTCATGCATGAGGGGCACTCACAGTCACACACTTATACTCACACACACATATCAGCCTGGTGCTCACACACTCCACACTCATTCACCCACACACACCTTCACACATGGACTCACACATACCACACACTCTCACACAGCTTGTGGTGGCTCCTGCAGGTGGAGAGGAAGGGGTGGGGTCATCAGGACAAACAACTCCTAGTCACCTGGATGAAGGCCAGCTCTTGGCCTCTGCATCAGAGCATCCCTGACTGACACTGCCCACTTCAGCCCCACAGTGCCCCCTCCCCCTGGCTGCGACTGGGAGGCACCAAAGCAGGAACAGGGATAGCCCCCACCCCAGGACGGTTGGTAGACCCCTTTCTCTGGAGGTCCGTTTCTCCCTTCTGAGGCTGCGCCTTGGAGATTGAGGAGTGTGGGATGAGGACCCCAGTTACCTACTGGGAATAACTCTGTGAGGTGCTGTCCCGATTCTCCACAAGACTGGGGTTTGGGCCGCGGGGTGGGGGTGTCGGGGTAGGGTTGGAGGGGTGGGTGGGGTGTATTGGGGAAGGAACGGCCAGGATTCAGAGAGGAGGGGCCGGGATTGGGGGCGGGGCAGGGACGAAGGGCGAAGGCGCGGAGGGCCAGGTTCCCATCCTTTCTCTCACCTTCACAGGTGCGCCAGAGCCCAGAGTGCGAGGACAGCTGCTCCGCACCGCCGCTGCGCTCGCCGCTGGCGTCCGCCACCTCCAGGATGTACCAGTAGTCGCTGGCGACCGCGGCGGCCAGCAGCGCGAAGCTCAGTAGAGCGCCCAGGGCGGCGGCCAGGAGCAACACGCCCAGCCGGGCCATGCCAAGGGTGACCCGGGCCGGGCAGGGACGGAGAGAAGTCGGCGTCTGGGTTCTGTGAGAGAGCCCGGGAGAGGGTCAGGGGAGTTGGGAGGCGGGGGTGGGGGGTGGGGTGTTGGCGGGACTTGGGGAAGCCGAGAGGTGAGGGCCGGAAGGGGCTGGAGGGTGCAGGAGAGTGGGGATAGGTTGGTAGGGGGTCAGGGGTGCGCAGGGAGCCAGGCTCAAGAGAGCCCGGCTAGATCAGCGATTAGGCGGTGGACAGCAGCGAGAGTGGCTCCCGCTCCGGCTCCTCGGAGTAAGATATCCGACTCACGGAGGAGGGGGCGTCTTGAGAGGCTGGGTCCGGGGAGCGGAGGGGAGCGGCAGAGCCAGGGGCCGGAGCAGGGGCGGTGCGCCGCTGGAGGCTCTTCTGCGCACGTCTCCTGATTTCTGCGCAGGGCTTGACACGCAGTGCCCTCGGGCTCGCAGGCGAACTGATGCCATCTAAAAAAGGAAGAAAGAAGTCTGGGACCCTCAGGATGAAGAGGAGCTGCAGCCCTGGGTTCAAACCCTGACGTCCCCAGAGCTGGCCACAGATTACTGGGCAATTCCTAATCTTTTTAAACCTCTGCTTTTGTGCATTTAAACAGCGGTGCCTTGAGAGGAGCTTGAAAGAATAGGGAGGGAAGAGCGGAAACTGGCCCCAAGAGGGGGCACCACCATTCTTTTTTTTTTTTTTTTTAAACAGGCATCAAACTCAGGACATTGTGCTTGCCAGACAGGTGCTGTGTCCCTGAGCTATCACTGGCCAGGGATCCTGACCTTGATCAGTCTTGAAGGCCAATCAGATAGGCTCAGTGGCCTGTCGTGGGGGTGGGCTCCGAAGGAAAGGTACTTCAGATTGGGTTTTTCTTTCCTTGGTAGTGGGGCTTGAACCAGGGTGCTCTAACACAACTGCATCCCCAGCCCTTTTATTTTGAGACAAGGTTGCTAAATTGCCCACGCTGGCCTTGAATTTGCTTTCCTCCTGTCTCCACCTCTGAGTAACTGAGATCACAGATGTGTGATACCACATCTGGCCCGATTATTTCATAATTACAAATGCCACATGTGGCAAGCCGGCTTAGCTGTCCTGCCTCTCAGAAGCATGAGTGAAGCACCCTGGAGGCCTCTGTTGGGAGCATGCTCCTCTGAGGAACTGTGCTCGGGCTGTGCCATGGATGAGGCGGTCAGGCTATGCTGGGCACCACAGCCAGGCACGCCCAGGCCCAGCAGTCTGCATCCTCAGGCTACAGTTTTCATTGCGGCAGCTTCCTGACTTGCAACTGACCCAGGCCTCTCAGAGAATGTGTTTGGGCCATTTTTTCTCTGCTAGGCTCCCATAGGTTTGAGGAACATAGCGCTTACATAAAAGCAATCCTAAGTTATTGAAAAAGTATTTCAAATGGAATGGAGACAGAACAGAACCAAGCTGCTTGAGTATTTCGTGGGCTGTTTATCTTTCTGCACACTGCACCAAAGGCTGTTTCCCAGCTGTGTCAGTGGAGATGCCCACTGTGCCTGATTGTGTCCTTGAGCTGGCACTGCCTTCCCCCCACCCCCCACTTGCCATAGGAGCCTGTGGCAGCCAGGAGCCTAAGGAGCTGAAGGACTTGCCCAGCCCATCTCTGATTATAGCTGGAGAGAACCGTGAACTCTGAAAACTTGAGTTTATCCCTAGCAGTTACTCCACAATAGAGCAATATAAAAGGATCCGTATTGCTTTGTTTGGGTTGAAGCCTCCTCTTGCGTGTGTATAAGGTTGAAGCAGGTGAGAGACGAGGACCATGAGATTGAGGCCAGCCTGGAGTACATACTGAGACACCATCTCAAACAGAAGCAAATAGAGGTCAATCCCCACATTTAGGGAAAACTAAGGAAGTCAGCTTGGTCCCTCCAATAAGCTCCCTGCCCTTGAGCTTAGCTGCTTTGAAAGGGCTTTGCTTTTGTTTTCTTTTGTAGTACCAAGGATTGAACCACCCAGTGGACCACATCACTGAGCTACATTTCCAGCCCTTTCTGTTTTGAGGCTGGGTCAGAGTTGCCAAAGCTGGCCTTGAACTTGTTATCTTCCTGCCTCAGCCTCCAAGGAGCTGCTATTACAGGTGTTATGGTTTGTGTATAGCTGTGCCCCCCAAAGCCTCATGCAGTCTTGGGGCAGCTTCTGGAGTCTGTGATTGATTACTGTGGGTGTGGATGCTGCACTTGCCCTGGGGCAGGTAATTTGCATTACAGTGTAAGGAGGGAGGAGAAGCTGGCTGCTTGAGCTGCTGCTACTCCCTATTTTTGCTCTTGCTCTTTACTGCCACCATGAAAGGTTGCCCTCTGCCATGTGCTGCTCTGCCTTGGAGCCAGCTGAGTGTGGACTGAAACCTCCAGTGACTGTGAGCTAAATAAACCTTTCCTTCCTTCATTTTGAGTGTCAGGTATTTGTCCTAGCAACAAGACAAGAGTAACTAAGACAGAATTTGGTACCAGGAGTGGGGCTGTTGCTGTGGCTAAACCTGACCATGTGGATTACAAGCTTTTGGAAATGGCTTATGTGAAGAGGCAGGAAAGGTTCAGAGATGTTGCCTATAAGCGAAGCGCTGGAACAGCTTTGGCTCTTCTGTAGGGGAGATTCTGGTCAGAGCTCAGAAGACCAGAAGGCTGATAGAAAGCTGGCCTCTGAAGACCAGGCTGGGGAAGTTTCTGCTGGGAAGAAGGACTGCACTGGTTGTTGGACTCCTGATCATTTGTGTTTTGACTTAACAGAAAAGTTGTCTGCATTTTGCTCATGTCCAGAGACTTTGTCTGAGACTGAGTTTAAGCATGGTGGACTGATCAATCTGCCAAAAGATATTTCAAAGCAACCAAATATTGGGGCAGTGGCCTGGTTGTTGCTGGGGGCTTTTAGCCAGATTTATTTTGAGAATGAAGAGCAAGGAGCCCAGAAGGATGGTTCAGAATGTTGTGCACTGGGCCAGAAAGGAAGCTCCGATAAAGCTGTGGGTGCAAAGATGGAGCTGAGAGCATCTCTATTGCCAGGAAGAAACCTAAGAATGGAAAGGATGGCCTGAGGGCATCACAGGAGGAGGAGGCAGGTCTTCACTCTTTGCAGCCTCAGAACTGCAAAGGTCAGGGACTTTGCCTTGGGGAAAAAGATGCTGAGCCCCTTGTTTCAGAATGGCAGCAGCCAGAATGGTGACAGCGGCGGCCACACCAGGTTCCAGAATGGCACCAGTGTGGAGAAATTATTCCTCGGAATCAGGGTCAGAGTGCTCAGTGATCCAGGCACTTGACCCCTATAGCCAAGAGAGAGGAAAGCTGGGCTACTGCTCCAGCTGGCAGCAGACCTTGGCATCATCCACGTGGCATTGGTTTTAGGCGCTTGCAGAATGCAGGAGTTCTGAGGTTCAGGCGGCTTCCAGCTCGATTTCAGAAGGCCTGGGAGGCCAGGTGGTGTGCCCCTGAGAGGGCAGTGTGTGAAGCTGTGAGTGAGAAGCCTATTCAGTGGAAACCCCAGAAGTTTGGAAAAGCCAGGAACATGGATCATCTAAGGCAAACTTCAAGGAGGGAGCAAAGCCGGCCTAACAGAGAAGCTGTAGGAGCTACCACCACCAATGCCATAGGAGCGGAGCCACATGGCGCTCACAATTTGCCACAGATTGCTTGGGATGTCCCACATGGAACTGCAGGACTTAATGTCTGCCCTGCTGGATTTTGGACTTGTGTAGGTCCCAATGCTTGGTATCCTGCTGTGTGTACCTTTTGGAATGGTAATGTTTATCTTTTTTTTTTAATTTATTTATTTAATGTGTGTGTGTGTGTGTGTGTGTGTGTGTGTGTCCAGCTCAGCCCACCAGGGGGCGGGGCTGTCTGGCATGTGGTGCTGGGGGATTGAACCCTGGTCCCTGTGCTTTGCTAAGCTTGTTCTAAGTAGGTGCTTTAGACCACCGAGCCATCTCACCAGCCCCGGTAATGTTTATCTTGTGCCTTTGCATGTTGCAAGTGTTTACATTTTCATTTGTACAGGGGCTCACAATTGAGAGTTTGCCTTGGATCTTGGAGGAGACTTGAAACTTGGACTTTTCAGCAATGGTGAAACTGTTGGGACTTTGGCAACTCATAGAGATGGACTAGAATGTCTTTTGCATAAAGGGATGTGTATGAGTCTTTAGAGGTCCAGGGGCAGAATGTTATGGTTTGTGTATAGTTGTACCTCCAAAGCCTCGTGCAGTCTTGGGGCAGCTTCTGGAGTCTGTGATTGATTACTGTGGGTGTGGATGCTGCAACTGCCCCAGGTAATTGGCATTTCAATGTGAGGAGAAAGAAGCTGGCTGCTTGAGCTGCTGCTACTCCCTTTTGCTGTTGCTCTTTGCTGCCACCATGAAAGGCTGCTTTCTGCTATGTGCTGCTCTGCATTGGACCAAGCTGAATATGCACTGAACCCTCCAGTAACTATGAACTAAATAAACCTTTCCTTCTTTTACTTTGAGTGTCAGGTATTTGTTTCAGCAGCAGTAACTAAAACAACAGATGTGTACCACTGTTCTCAGCTTGGATCTCCATAGCTGCACCCAGCGCAGCTTAAACAGGACAGGATAGGGCTCTTGAAGCCAACGACCGGCACGTTGCAGGCCACTGCTACCCGGAGGGAGGTTTCAGCAAGAGACATCCAACCCGCATCTCTCTAGAGAGGAAGGCAGGGTCCCCTACTTTCTCAGGCTGCCAGGCGGGGGAGATGGCTGAATCCAACCAGCCTGCTTTCAAGCCAGGTTCCATGTTTAAGACCAGATGTACAGCTGGAGCCACTGATTAGACTGCTCGTTAGCAGGCGGCGGTCCATGAGGGGCTGTGTGATGAATTCTGCCAGTGTAATTCTCTTACGATGGACCCAATTACACCCAGCCCAGTCTGAAGAGGTAGTGCTTCAGCAGTACCGTCACCCTGCTTTCACTGGGCTGCCTACCATACTGGGCAGACCCCAAGCCTTCTGGATGGTA